GCACTCTACCCAGGGGGACAGCTTGAGGCTCCTGTCTCAAAAAAAAAAGAATTAACGTGGTAAGTAGTGTCCCATGTGCAGTTCTCTCCCTGGGGTGGCCCCCAGTGGCTTCACTCAAGTAGAACAAGGAATGAGCTCACTGCAGGTCCCCGACCTGAAGCCCAGTTGCTCTGCAGAGGCATGTGGGCTTGTTCTATCCCTGGCAGGAGCTCTTTGTAATGGGGCTTCTGACCCCCTGGACCATCCCTAGGGATGATCAGAAGCCCCTCTTAGGAGGTGAACACTTTGCATGTGTGTATCAGCCTTTGTTTATAACCCACCTGGTCCTAGGTGAGGTTTCGGGAGCCCAGTTAATCGTTACATGTTGCTTATCTGCAATATTTCATCGGGTTCTGGCCTATTCTGATATCCTGGATCTAGTTTGCAGTTGAAAGCAGGTGGGGGCCTCAGTGCCCATAGCTTAGTGGTTAGGGCGCCAGCCATATACACCAGGGCTGGTGGGTTCAAACCTGGCCTGGACCTGCTAAAACAACAATGACAACTACAACAAAAAAGTAGCCAGGTGTTGTGGCAGGCACCTGTAATCCCAGCTACTTGGAAAGCTGAGGCAAGAGAATCACTTAAGCCCAAAAGTTTGAGGTTGCTGTGAGCTGTGACACAACAGCACTATACCAAGGGTGACATAGTGAGACTCTGTCTCAAAAAAAAAAAAAAAAACAACAACAGGTGGGGGCAGGGCTGGCTACCACCCACCACTAAGGGTGTCCTAATGGCTAGAGCTGTCCTCATGGCACCTTCTCATCTACCCTAGCTGTGCCAATGGAGGAGGGTACTACCACTATTCCTACTCGGTTGTGCGAGGCTGTGACCGCATTGTGCCTGTGGACATCTACGTGCCAGGTAAGCAGCTGTTGAGGACCTCAGCTCATCTACCCTGGTGGAGCCCACCTCCATCAGGGATGATAGATTCTGCCCATTTTACAGATCAGATTCAGATCCACTCTGTGCCTTTCCTCCTTTCTCAGTAGAGGATGAAGTCTTTGATTTTGATTTTATTCAGATGTTGGGCCACACCTAGTATCAAAGGGATCAGATTGAGCTGTGTGGAATTGCCAACGTTTAAGTATTAAATTGTAGTTTCAGGTCAAGTCAGGTAATACACACCTAGGATCGCTTGAGGCCAGGAGTTGGAGGCTGCAGTGAGCTATGTGATGAGGCCACTACACTCCAGCCTGGGAAACAGAGTAATACTCGTCCCTCTAAAAAATAAGTAAACTGCATTTTCATATGGTTCTGCCTAATAGAAACAAAGCCCCAAAAAATGCAATTAAAAATGCAAACAAGAAGTCAGGCATAGGTTTGGCACCTGTAGCTCAGCAACTAGGGTGCCAGCCACATACACCGGAGCTGGCAGGTTCAAATCTAGCCCGGGCCTGCCAAACAACAATGACAACTCCAACGGAGAGATAGCTGGGCATTGTGGCAGGCACCTATAGTCCCAGCTACTTGGGAGGCTGAGCCAACAGAATCGCTTAAGCCCAAGAGTTTGAGTTTGCTGTGAGCTATGACACCATGGCACTCTGCCCAGGGTGACATAGTGAGACTGTCTCAAAAAAAAAAAAAGGAAGTCAGACACAGTAGCTCACACCCTATAATCCTAGCACTCTGAGAGGCTGAGTCAGGTAGATTGCCTGTGCTCAAGAGTTCGAGACCATGGCTCAGTGTCTGTAGCTCAGCGGCTAGGGTGCCAACCATATACATCAGAGCTGGTGGGATGGAATTCATCCTGGGCCTGCCAAACAACAATGACAACTATAATCAAAAAATAGCCAGGTGTTGTGGTGGGTGCCTGTAGTCCCAGCTACTTGGGAGGCTGAGGCAGGAGAATTGCTTGAGCCCAAGAGTTTGAGGTTGTTGTGAGCTGTGATGCTATGGTACTCTACCCAGGGCAATAGCTTGAGACTTTGTCTCAAAAAAAAAAAAAAAAAAGTTGGAGATCAGCCTGAGCACCAGCAAGACCCTGTTTTTACTAAAAAGAGAAAACTATCCAGGCATTGTGGCAGGGGCCTGTAGTCCCAGCTACTCAGGAGGCTAAGGCAAGAAGATCACTTAAGCCCAGGAATTTGAAGTTGCTGTGAGCCATGGTTCCATAACACTCTACCCAGGGCAACAGAGTGAGACTTTGTCACCAAAAAACCCCCCACAAACAGTAAGAACAACAACAACAACAAAAAAAAAAAAAAAATAGAAGAAGAAAATGTTCCTGGAGGCTGAGAACTGTCTCCGAGTCTACAACCTCACAGAGGGCACATTAGGTTCCCTGGAAGTCCAGCAATTGCCACCATGGCCAGACTTAGCACATAAAAATACAAAAGGCTGGGTAGCACCTGTGGTTCTGTTGTTGTTGTTTTTGTTTTTTTTGAGACAGAGTCTCACTTTGTCACCCTTGGTAGAGTGCTATGGCCTCAAGGCTCAAAGCAACTAAACTCTTGGGCTCAAGTGATCCTCTTGCCTCAGCCTCCCCAGTAGTTGGGACTACAGGCCCCTGCCACAACGCCCAGCTAAAGAAACCGGTTTTAACATTGGATTAGAGCTAGTTGAAAACTGTGTTGAGGCTCGGCGCCTATAGCTCAACTGGCTAAGGCGCCAGCCACGTACACCTAAGGTGGCGGGTTCGAATCCCCAGCCCGGACCCGCCAAACAACAATGACGGCTGCAACCAAAAAAATAGCCGGGCGTTGTGGCGGGCGCCTGTGGTCCCAGCTACTTGGGAGGCAGAGGCAGGAGACTCGCTTGAGCCCAGGAGTTGGAGGTTGCTGTGAGCTGTAATGCCATGGCACTCTACCCAGGGGGACAGCTTGAGGCTCTGTCTCAAAAAAAAAAAAAAAAAAGAAAACTGTGTTGATTTGCTTAGCATTCTGCAAATATTTATCAAGTGACTTTTCTGGGCCCCAGAGAGGCCTCCACTCCAGGCCTGGTGCTGGGGGTATCTCCCAGGCAGGGGAAGAGGAGGGGATAGAGCCTGACATTGATATGCCTGGCCACGCTTGTGATGTAAAGAGGGTACAGTGGACTGAGGTTTTGAAGGATACATAGGCTGTGGGCTTGTTTACCTTGATCAGGAGCAAACCCCCTGGTCAGTTGCTGCTTGTTTGAGGTATGACTTTGGGTAAATCTCCTATCCTCTCAGACCCTCAGTTTCCCCACCAGTCAAAGGAGACAGTTATACTGCCAGGCTCTACCTTCAGAGGCTGACCTGGGGGCCCTGTACAAATATGCAGGGGAAAGGGATGGGCCCTAGATGGCTTCGCTGTTCTGGCTAGGGCTGGTTATTATGGGGAGGGAAGCTGAGGCACAGTCTTGCCCACAGGCTGCCCACCCACAGCGGAGGCCCTGCTGTATGGCATCCTGCAGCTACAGAGGAAGATCAAGAGGGAGCAGAGGCTCAAGATCTGGTACCGCAGGTAGTGCCACCACTACTGGAGCCACTGGAGTGTGTCTGTGTTGTCGCCCCTTGAGATTGTCAATAAAGCTGCCCTTAGGCCCCACTATCCCCCCAATGTGGTATGTGGGAGAAGGTCCTGTCTGCACCCTAATTGGAGCCTACCCTGGGGTCCATGGCATGGCCCATGTCCAAGTAGTAGGTAATGACTCAGGGAGATGGGGCTGGAGAGAGACAAGCCACATTCTCCACTGGCTGCCCCATGCTTGGAATCTCACATGGCCTCACCCAGTGCTTTGGGGTGATCACTGGCTTTGCCTTCTTTGGTCCATGTCCTCAGCTGGTCCCTTTGTCCTGTAGACTGTGTGTGGACATCAAGGATGTATATTCACTCAATAAATGTTTGGTTGTCTCATTCAGAGCCAGATGCTGCTGGTGCCAAAGATCCCGGTTCTGCAGATCTGCAGCTTGTTCTTGTTGCTTGTTCGGGATGGTTCTGGGGATCAGCAGTTAGGACTGACAGGACTGGGAGGGGACACCCAGGACATGAGTGGAGGTGCAGGCACTTTGCCCAGCCAAGTTGGGTAACACTGAGAGGGGAAGCTCAGGGGGGAATAGTGTGTTCAAAGAGGAAATAGCTCACACCAGGAATTGAGGCCTGGAGCTGGCAAGGCAGGAGGGCCCCAAACATAGCCACAGGGGCCTGCCTTGGTGCTCAGGGCAGTTAGTCAGTGGAGGGAGCCAGGAAGTGGCCTGGCAGAGGGAGGCATTTGTATCTCCTGGTGGGAGGGCAGTGCCAGCTAACCTCTGAAGGCACTGGGGCTCAGTACACCTGGGCACCTATCCCTCATCAGTGAACATTTATGAGAGCCAAGACCCAGAGGTGGGCCTTCACTGACTGGCCAGTGGGGCAGCAGGGATGGGGCATACAGCAGCCAGGGTACTCCCTTGGGACAGGGCTGCAGGGCTGTCCCAGCCCTGGACTCCAGTCAGGGTGCTTAGAGAGGGTACTGTGCTGCTGGGATAAGGGGAGAGAGAGTACTCAGGGTGCTGAAGGGCCTGATGGATCATCTTACCCCACCCAGCCCTTGTGCTGCCACCCTGGGCACCCCCTCACATGCCCTATTCTAAACAGGCAAGTGGCAAGTGGTTTTCCTCTCTGACTCTGTCAACTGGTTATTGCTGCCTGAGAGGAAGTGGTCCTCAGGGATCACGTGCCATGTTTGCCATGGCAAGATGATGGTAGCCAGAGGCCTAGAGCCTTGGAGGGGAGGGCCCAGCTTCTCCCCAAACCCATGTGACAGGTCTCTTGTCTTTGTTTGGAGAGCAGGGGGAGTAACTAGAAGCAACAGTTGCACAATCAATCACTACTGAAGGGCCAAGCCCTGTGTTAGCCTTTATTTTACCCTTGAGGACCTGCAGGGGGAGGCAACAGTACTCCCACTGGAGAGGTCAAAGCTGCCAGTAGCACTGTGGAGACTGGGAGAGGCCAGGGCCTGGGCACCTAGCCACCAAGGCACTGAATAGTGACAATAAGGGGTTGTCCAGAAGTCCAGAGGCTCCATGCTAGGCTGGGCTCAGTGCTTGGTGACTAGGGGTGTGATCATCTCCGGAAAGGCATAGTAGCGGCAGTCAGCTGGTGGGACCAGCACCATCACCTCTGTGCGGATATTCTCCCTCCGGAACCCTGCGTCCAGCAGTGCAGGCACCTGTGTCTCCTGGTGGGAGAGCAGTGCCAGCTTACCTCTGAGGGTGTTGGGGGGTTCACACTACACCTGGGCACTCACCCCTCATCAGAGAACATTTATGAGAACCAAGACCCTGAGGTGGGCCAGGTGTGGATGGGAATGTCCAGCTGCTGAAACCAGGTAGTGGCTTCCGAGCTGTCCTGGAATGTCAGCCCCAGACTGGGTCTTCAGGACATTGTCCTGGTGTTTCTCCCCATCTTCACCAAAGCAGTGGGCAGAGCAGAGGATCATAACAAGGAAAAAAGCATGTAGGCCTCCTAATCCATGCTTTGGGAGGAAAGCTGCCCTGCTGGCTGCATGTACCAGACAGGTGCTCAGAAGTGGCTCAGAGCTCTGCAAGGATGGCTCAGAGCTCTGCAAGGAGCCATGGCTTAGAAGGTCACTCTCTGCATTGCCTTGCCAGGAAGAGGAGAAGCAAGGTGTGGAGAGGCCCTGAGAGGTACTGCTAAGCCAACAAGGGCACATTGCAAGTGGAAGAGACCAGAGGTAGGGTGCTAGGGGGTCATGGGAGGTGGCTAAGCTAGGGAAGGTCCCCACGTGATTCCCGTGGTTAATGGAGAATCTGCATGGTCCAGCCCCCAAGGCCTGTGGCCCCTCCCCAGTCCACTCCAAGTTGCTGTGTCAGACCAGTTTCAGGGCCCTGGGAGCTCCCAGAAGTCATACCTGAAACATAGTGGTGATATTCGAGTATTTGGACTTCATCAGTTCCCCCCAGGAGGTAAGATTGCAGTAGGTGAGGACACCCCCTGGCTTGAGCAGGCGAAAGGCATGGTTCTGGGGAGGGGACAGAAACTGTTCAGGCAGGAGACTGGCGTTTGGTCTCCCACATCCCAGCAAATCATGGACGAAGATGAGAGAACAGCACACACATCCCCAGCCAAGCACCATGCTATGGTGCCGACCACTGAGGCCCACCTTAATGAAGTTGAACTGGTGCGTGTGCCAGGTCTGCTCCGACAGCGGGTATGTGTCATACAGGATCCCTGTGCAGAGGATGAAAGCCTATCTGCTGAGGGCTGAGCTTGGCAGCCTAACCAAGGCTCTCCCAGCTCATCTCAGGGCAAGTGAAGGCAGCGCAGGCTTGAGAACCCCAGAGGCCACACTTTGAGGTCTACTAATCATGTTCCTCACTCACTACCACGTGCCAAGCCCTCAAAAGCCCACCCTCATGTCCTCATCCACCCAGGCTCTGTCCCCCAGGGCAGATCAGGAGTTGTGTTTTTTTTTTTTTTTTTTTTTGAGACAGAGCCTCAAGCTGTCCCCCTGGGTAGAGTGCCATGGCTTCACGCTCACAGCAACCTCCAACTCCTGGGCTCAAGGGAGTCTCCTGCCTCAGCCTCCCAAGTAGCTGGGACTACAGGCGCTCACCACAACACCCGGCCATTTTTTGGTTGCAGCCATCATTGTTGTTTGGCGGGCCGGGCTGGGGATTCGAACCTGCCACCTTAGGTGTATGTAGCTGGCGCCTTAGCTGCTTGAGCCACAGGCGCCGAGCAGGGGTTGTGTTCTTTAGAAGGTCCCTACTTCACCGAAGGAGGGGGCTGGATTACAGCAAGAAGGGCCAGGTCATCCCTTTGATAGGTCTCTCTCACCATCAAAGTGACTGTCTGGTAGAGTGGGTGCCACCTCCTCCCACAGGCCTTTCAAAGGTACAACCTTGGATAGCAGAGGAAAAAAAGAAAAGACTGAGCGACAGAGTGGTCCCCAGGGAGAACATCTCCCCCCCCCCCCATGCCTGTGGATGCCCCAGATGCCCATCCCCCTCTGGTGGCACAAGGCCTTGAGCCCAAGTGGGATGCACCTTGTGTGGTTGTTGCTGGGCCCAGTCCAGGAGCCGCTGGAAGACACCATCGTTGCACTCTATGATCCAGTGCTCCTCGATGGGAGCCTCCTGCACCTTTGAGGCTGCAATGGCCATGCCAAAGCCCACCTCCAGGATCCGGCCCCCTGGCAGACAGACAAAGATGCCAGGCATTACATAGCAGGTCTGGGAGAGGAGGCTGCCTGGGGGAGGGGGGCACAGGGGCAGGGCTCTGGCTGAGTCACATTCACCACAAGGACAGGAGGGCAGTCTAGGCTGGCACAGGCCAGAGGCGAACAGAACAAGCAGTGCTGAGTGGGAACGCGTAGGCCCTGGGTAGTGGCCAGGAAGGCGGAGGACAACAGCTTTTGGGCCCAGCCCCAGGGGGAAGTCAGAGCCTTGGACTTTGAGCCCTGGCCCACTCTGTTTGCACTAGTGGCTCTTATCTCTTGCTTTGGTTACTTTTCTCTCCTCTCCATCCCCACCATGGAATTTGCAAGAAGGTCAAGGCAAGACCTGAAACAGTTTGTGTGGGGCGGCTGGGCGCCCACGGACCACAGTTACAAGCCTCTTTCCATTCTTATTTTCACTTTACCCTGGATGTGCCCGTTTGCCAAGTGGGAATGCTAAGGCCCGACCGGTGGATCGGCTTGTTCGGGGCTAGGAAGTCCCTGCATCCCTGGAGCTCGGGCACTAGGCAGCGCCACCTCTGGGGTCAGCGGTCTCCCTGCGCCAGCTTTCCCCGGCTATTTTTAGCCCGGGAGGGGCGGGGCCTCGCGTGCCTGGGCAGCTCCCTGAGGGCCAGGCGGCCGCGGCCCCTGCCCCCGACCTCAGACGGGTGCTGGCAGCTGAGTTTCACCACGGTCTCACATCTGAGGTCCTAAACTCAGACCCTGCCCGTCCCCAACCAGAGCACTGGTGTCTTAATCCCTAGTGAGAAAGTTCCCGCTTCTTAAAAGCGCCTAATGTGGGCAGGCCCCGCGCCCGCAACACTGCCCTCTCTCTAATGCCCTGCTGCCCCCGACGAGCAGCCCCACTTCCTAGGCGAGGAAATCGAGGCTCAAGAGGCGCAGTGCGCATTGGCTGGAGGGTGGGTGGAGACCCCAGTCTGTGCGACGCTCCCGCCCTCGCGGGCCAGCGGGGCTACCTCTGGAGGCGGCAGCCGCAGCCAGCGCGTGCATGTAGGGGGTCTCCCAGCGCTCCATCACCGGCTTGCCCAGGATCCGCAGGTGCGTGTCCGCCGCGTCGTAGGCCGCGGGCGCCGCCTGCCACGCTGGGTTGCAGTTCTCTCCCGGGGCGAAGATGGGGGTCGCAGCTGGGGAGCTCATTCTGGGGCTGGACGGCGCGTACCGACTCAAATCCGACGCGGCAGGCCAGGTCCCTGCAGGGCCTTCTGGGCAGGGGGCGGGCTGGGGGGCGGGCCGTGGCAGACCTGCGCGTTGGGCCGGGCGGCCTCTAGTGGCGGACGGCGGGCGGGGAGAGGGCTCCTTGATATGGACCGACGCCCAC